ATGGCGCACTTGAACACGGGAAATCCCTCAATTATCTTATGTTTACTCATGATAACTGGCAACCGAAACCCCGGGACTTGTTAACACTGTTACTCTTACCCATAGTATAAATATCACCACTGTCTATGCAACAATATGACAACAACTACAACAATTACTACAACAAGTATCATGATTTCCATAAATAATACTATGACCTTCATCCAATGAGTTGTAGTCATTTGATGTCTGTGAAGCTCTTCTTATCACTTACGGCACAGTAATCGACGAGATTGTACAGCCAAATGTGAAAAAACGACAATTTCTCTTTGACGCTAGGCAACTGTGCTCTGGTCATTGGACCTTTTGCATTAGAGCTTCAGTTTGATTGTCAGACATCTGGTGAATGATTTTCAGTCAAAAAATATTTCCAAAAACTACTATGACACTGTGCATTTACGGGCTCGTTCAACCTGATAATAGTCTGTCATTCCTAATGACAATAATCGCCAGATAATGTTCCACATCAGTAACCCTTTGGCTTGTTTCATTGCTGCGACCGGTTGGCATAGTTTTTTATTCAAACCAACCAAACTCTTTTCACATTATTTATGCATTTTCACAAATTCCAGAGCTTTTGTAACCAAACCGGATGGATGCCTGTGTTGAGGGTAGTGAGGATGAATTGCGAGGTTTTATTGTAAAATTGTTGTACTGTTTCAATCAGTACTAGGTCAGATGTTTTCTCTTTACTCCTATTAATTCTCAGGGCTTCCTTTTTCCTTCTTTTTTCTTTTTCATTTTATTGAATATACAAAGATACAATTTTCAGAGAGCGCGAAGCGGTCAATCAAAGGGCTGCCATTCAACACAATGAGGAAAGTTAGGCGTTGGTGGTGGGATTCGAACACACATTCTCGGGGTGATAATTTGGTGTCGTTATCACCAGGCCAGGGTGTGGGTTTCCCGTTACAGGCACGTTTTTGACCTCTTTTTGAAATGAAACCAAACGATCTGGTTTCAAGCTATCCAACTTACTGCGGTTTTCTTGTAATATGCCCCACAAGGTGGCCGTATTTTATGCGGTTTTTGGACGAAGCTAAACCATATTTTAAGCATTTGATTTGGAAAGACAGAAAAACAATCCCTTGCTTAACGTCAACACTGACGTGACTTTGTGCTTTAACGATAGTAAATCCACACGGAACCCTTAATTTTGTTATTCTTCTCATGAAACTACCTACTTCAATAATTCATTTGCCTGGACCAGAAGGGAATAATCAAGTCCCGAGTTTGATTCAGTGTAGTGCACGACTTTAGAGGGGTTCTCCTTTCAACCAACAGTGTAACGTCTGCTGCAGTTTTCTGACTGCGACATTTGATTGTTTTTCGATGAGTTGTAGCATTTGCCTGCAGGTATTTATCAAGACGGTGCATATATATATATATAAACATTTTTCTTGACCGATTGACTTATATCTTTCAAAAAAGCATTTTAATGGAGATTCAAGTGTAGACTTTGTTTACATCTCACTATCGCATTGATACTAGCAGTGAGTAGTGAGCTGGCTGCTAGGATATCATGTGGCTTGGGCTAAAACTCAGTTGACGGACATGCAGCACAATTGCTGTACGTTCTATTAAATGATGTAGAAATCAGGAGTTTCTTGTTCATTCACGTACCCAGTTGGTTGTACTAGGCATGTACAATAGATGGGTATGAACGATGTATTGAAGCACGCTGAGGATTGTGACCAAGAAAACATTAAAAAACGAAATGTTTTTGCATGGTAAAAAGCTGGACCAAATGGTCAAATACAAGGGTTGCTTATGGTGACCTGCTGTTCTGTTGTTCTGAAACGTCGTAAACCTTTCGATGCGATAGCACGTACTCGTGCGAACGTGTGCGACATTACTTCTGTTGCTACGAGCATGCTCACCTGTGGTGTTCTTAGAACCCCAAAGATGTCTTGATATCATTCTGGATACTTGTCATTCGTTCTTTGTTTTTCCCACAGAGAACGACGTGGTCATTCGTTGGCTGTTAGTCGTCGCAGACAATCGGAATCCTCACCGCCTGGAGACGTGTTGGGTAAGTACCATTTTTATATTCCGCTAACCTTCACGAACATGCGGTGTTCGTAGCCCACGGTAGTAAATCTCGTGCACACACTATTTTACAGATGATGACACTGATGAATATCGTGACTTCACACCACACAATCATCAGAACACAGATCGGGAACAGACCAATGCGGCAGCCTCCAAAAAGACACCGGTTCAACAAACTCAAGTTCCCGGGACCGGGCCAGGAATGAAACGAAAGGTTTTCTCCCGAAAGGTTAGTCCAGTAGTGTACATATTTCAAATTTTCTACTTTCGGGTTCCTTGTTTTTCTGCATTAAAAATTGTTAGCAAACCGAATCCATCGTAATATCTCTTCGTTAAGTCACCTGTCGATACCAAGGAAAACTTTTACTTACTCACTCACTCACTCACTCATTCACCCACCCATTCACTTACCCAATCACTCACATGCGTACTCGCTCACTCAGGTACCAACACCACCACGTTGAAAACAACGTTGACCACAGGGCGTTGATGAAAATGAATAATGTGTCATTTTCTAGAGAGTCCAAATAAACTACCTCCTGAAAGTGGTCTACTACCTTCTACTTTGTTTTAAATTTTCTCGTTTAGTTCCACAGCTCTGTTTTCCCATAATCACTTTCGTAAAAAAGTAAGCGTGCCATTCACACTAGGATTGACAGATTGGAATAAACGTTTCTTCTATATACAAAGGACGAATCTATTTCTCTACTGGCCTTAAGCTTTCCAATGGATACAATAATCAAGTTTCAATACAGTTTACATCAGAATCTACCAACTAATCTTACTGGCATATACCCTCAGCCCCCATTTTATAGCAAAGCTTATATTGTGCCGAATTAAGCCACTTCTAGCTTTTAATCATGTGGCCAATCTTTTCCCCACATATTCCTCGTAATTAGCATTTTTATTAGGTTATTTTTCTCTCCAGTTCGGTTCCCAATCCCGGTTGATCATATTCCCCGTGGGGAAATCCGGGGGGTTCAAATCGGGTCAAAGCGGGCGAAATTCATTCAATCTGATCGTTTGGAGACGAACACTCCCCTGTTATGAACACACAGAGCGTAGCCCAATCGGGTCACAATGTTCGTTTCCATGGCTCGCACAAACCCAAATTTGGATAATGGGTGTTATCCTGCTGACCTTATTCGGTTAGTGCTGAAATGAAGTCTCACAGGGTACATATGCATAGGGCAAAACCACGTGTAGTGGAGATTAGATTGTGTGGCACGTGATGTGTGTGTGTGTGTGTTTCGTAGGTTTACAAAAGCGTAAATTCACAGGATAAGACAGCCTCAGTTCAAACGTGCATAAACCCCATGTACTGCTGTGCATGTTTCGTTCCGTGTTGTTTCCCTGTTGTACGCATTCTTTGGTTTTTGTGCGTTACATTCCGCACACTATTATCACACGCATGCACGCACACACGCACATACAATAACTGGAGGCTTTATTGACAGAAACCCGAAGGAAAAGAATGGAAAACGAGAAAAAATTTGCAATTAGCCCAGACTGAACGATTCATTCAGACGCGACATTCACACCGGCGCTTATAGGCTGAATACCATTTAAAAGATCCTTGTGGACCTGTTTGTATTTGATTTGTGTACGGACGGCTCAAAGTTTTGTTGTCCTTAAATCAAGTTGATCATATGAATGAGTATGTTCGGCTTGATTCCTGAATTCACGTGACCACTTCAATCTCTGTTAGGCATTTTGTAATGTGATTGATACGTATGGGCAAGGAGCTTGTGTGTTGGCCATGTTGTATGAGCGAGAACTTAGGGAGAGGTGAACAAGTGTTTGGGTTAGTTCATCGATAGTACAAACTGACAACTGAATTCGACTGTCAGCTTAGACCTGTAAAATGCTCTCGGGATACGCAAACCCCAGTGCAGCAGTGTTCAGTAGAACGTTCTTTTCAAAATTTGCTTCGTCGTAACCACAAGCCGTAGTTGCATTTTATTTACCAACGGAAAATGCACGACAAATCAGTGAATTTTGGGATCCCCGGGTTGGATAAATAAGATGAAGACTAACGTTTGACTCTAGATGAATTTACTGTAGAACTTACGTAGACTCTCAAACGCTTTCCAGCGGTCCACAATTCGAATCGGCTCTGAACATAACCCAACTTGGACTGGTAATCAAGTAGCTCGAATGATTGGTATTCAGTTCACCATGAAAGTTGTCTATCCAATGGTGTAAGTTACTCAGTCAGTTTTGTCTGCGATCTAAGTTCTCAGGATGATCAGCCACTGGAAGAAAAGCATATAAGCAACCTACTTCGTCTGAGAGTGTCATCACCCAATGCATGAAACGCTCACAAGGTCAACCAGACATGTCACACTTTTTCTGTGTATCTCAACTATCGGTTTATCAAGAGAACGTGGAACGTTTGAAAACTTGTCTAACAACACATTGACTCACCAGATTTAAATTACAAGCCAGACAAAGCCAGATTAAAACGCGAACTGTTGCCACCTGGTGTTCTAAATGAGCGTGAAACGTTTTAAAGACAACATTGTTAATTCCACCGATTCATGTTCTGTTGGACTGATCTCAAATTGATGTGAGCTCATAAATCTATAGTGGGCTGTGTTATCTAACCAATATTATCAAGGTATCGGCGACAGGTTTCAATCAGTGCTGCCTCATAACATTGTCACTGGTTTTCTTAAACGTCGTTTCAGCAAATGAATGAATGACGCGTGGTTTGTGGTGTCGTGAGCACTAGATAGGTGGTGGGATGGAATAGCACATGGATCACTTTGTAGCTAATTCATCTCGGTAGAGAATGAAGGAAATGTGATGCATCATCATACTATCTATGTCTTACAGTGTCAACAGAAGACAGCGGCATTCCATCAGATTATAAGTACCACAAATTCAAAGTGTTCTCTTTCCCCTCCCCCGCCTGATTTCCGCAACAGGCAAATACAACGAGCGCCTAAAGTAGCTTTGTATTCGGCGTGTACTAACATGATAATTGCATCCTGTCTGGAGTCTATTCGGAATAACTTCAGAGTTCAACGGGCCGAAGAACACATGGCTTGACACGATGTATAGGGCCATGAGGAATAGTTCACGTTTCCAGTTGATTGGCAACATCTGAAGAAAACATTACTAGTGTGCAGAACGTACGAAGGTCCGAAGCAGAGTATTTTCTACAAGGCGTGAAAGATGACTGGGAACGATGAGCGCGGTCGAAAGAAATTCCTTAGCCATGCCATACTAGACGTAAAATAAAGTCAAAATCTTGAATAACAAAACTCATCAAGCATCTTCCTCCAATTTTCTGCGAACCATGTCAATAGGTTCTTTCGTTTGCACAAGATAATGCGCCCATACATACCGCATACTTCACGAAGCTCGGTTTTTTTACCTTGATTTGAATAAAATAGAGAATGTTTGATACATTACGAAAATGTGTATATATGTGACGAACAGAATCCTTCACACACAAATAACGAACTGAGGAAGACCATTGTTGAAAAAAAGATAAACTGAACTAGAAGTGGGAGTACTGAACTATGTGATCAGTATGTATGCCAGAACGTGGTTTGTTACTAATTGCAAATAACGAACTTTATAATACCTGAAATACGATTATTTTCACTATCCAATGGGAGTGACATTGGAAGCATACCGCACTCATTCCGACCGTTGTATGCAATATTCAGCGTCCGATTTTAACTGAGTCAGTTTTTCTTGTAAGTATGCTGCGGGACAAGTGTTCAAAATTTCGACTTTCTGCATAAACCAGGGGTATACGGGAGAACATGTGACCAAGTGGTTAGGTCATCAGCTTGTGACCTGTGAGTTTCCGGCTCGAACCGCTCCACCACCGCCCGTCTTCCCGGGCAGTCTTTATATGACCGCGGCCCCCTTCCTGAAAGGTGTATGTACATTGTATATTCAATAAATAAAAAAGGAAGTAAAAATACACACATTTGAATCATGGCTACTTCGGTGGTTTTGTAACTTCCAAGTTGATTCTGTGTTCTACAAACGAAATGCCTTATAGAACAGAGAATCAGCAAAGTTTCATGAGATATATGCAAAACGTGACCGAACGGGCATACATTTAAACGCTGTCAGTGATTATGATCCCGATGTGTACTAGATTTGAGGGGCGAATGCGATAAATGTCATATTCACCCCAGTCGGGACGAAGAAATCGGAGCGGCCGGGTAATCACTCACTTTTATCCTCGTTAGTCTGTGAACCATGTTTCTAGAAGAAGACAATCATGTTTTTTCCGTTGCTTGATCACAAACCAATAATTTGTCTACCAGATATGCAATCATGTAACCGGGAGAGGGTGTTCATGTTTCATGAAAAGGGAGCATTTGGTTAGAAATAAACGATTTGTGATTATTTCTGTCCCTTACTATGTCTTTTTCCCCGCCGTCCGTCAGCCCGATTTTGTTGCGCCATATGAGATAGTCCCATGTATGCGACCGGTCGTATTCGTCGGACCGGCGTTGAAAGGGTACGAGGTCACAGATATGATGCAGAAGGCTATTTTCGATGCCATGAAGAAACATTTTGATGGACGGTGAGTGTTTACAACATAGAGTGAATGAATTCCGTTTATCTGCACCGTTTACTTTTAAATCACTGTATTATTTGTTCACCAATAATTCTTTGGTTTCAAAAATCAGTAATAATCTCCTTTATCTCAGGAGGCTGTGTGTAAATCCACTATAGCTCGCAACCATCATTATACACATCATCAAATTAGCATAAATCTGTACTTTTCAGGGTGACACATTCCTTCGGAATTTTCTGATAGATATGTGATCCTTAGAAGTGGAATAGTACCGGAATAGTGCTGGAATTGGGGAATTACTCTACTTTCAGTCGGAGAGTTTTTTGTTTGACTCTGTGCAGATGACATTTCACTGTGGTTTTAGTGTATATTTTAATGAGAAGCAGGTATTTTTGGATAGTTTGACTTCAATGAAACTGGTAGATTTATCTTCCGCTTTGCAGCTTCAACGTTTCTAATACTCAAGTCAGGTGCTGAGTGGAGAAAGTGCTTGTGGTAGGAACGATTGGAGCGAAGCGCAAGCAGGGTCAGACAGAACGAAACATGTTATGTGTAACAAAGCAGTTATGTATTCCTCAAAGAATCCGAACCGGTGTTTAAGCGGTGTAAGCCACTATCACTGGTGTCTCCCGGCTGCATACCACACCTAACTTAGCGGGGCCTGATATGGTTAGGCATTCAAAGCCCCGGGACTCAGCTCACCAGTTTCGAGGACTAAACAGGATTAAGCCTGTGTCTATGGGGTTTATCTCGTCTACAGTTCGTTACACAAAAAGGCGTGTAACAAAACAGCAGTTAAAAACTGTATTCGCATATTTTACGGCTACTATGTGGAACCCACGATTACTTTCACGGATGTTGCGAGTCAACTGTACTCCTTCAATGTGGGTGCAACTAAATGCTACTCACGAAAATGTGAGTAGTACCTAACTTCCATAGGATAAGTTGGTTCGACTTCAATATTGCCTGGAAAAAAGAACACATAACTACTTAGTTTAAGCCTCAGGTGCACGAAGTGGAGTACGCAAGTTGCACACATTTTCCGGTGGACCCAATCGACAGTCAAACCCTCCAACTATTCGATTTTAATTTAGATGTTGAAAATCCTTTCAGAAAAATGGTCACCGTATAAAATACAGTAAATATGCTCATGAGATTTGCAGTGCTTAATTCACATCTGGAGTTCAATCATAAGAATGACCAGACAGAAGATTACCGGATACGCATACCCGACGAGCTGCAAAGACCGCGAAACCGGTCGTGTGATTCGGGCAAATTTTATCCAGTCATTCTTATGCTACTCATTATAACAGTGAATCTTTGAGTAACTGGAACGTCTTTATCGTCTATAATTTGAAGTGAATTTGTTTCAATGTTCACTGTTTTGTACGTTTTACTCAGACCAGACAACATGAACACAGTCGTTTCTGTCCGAGAATGGAGGAAGTGCGTGTTTGGAATGTATAAAAGAGTGAAATTTGTTTCCTAAAAGCCATAATGGTGTATGTGGTCAACCAATGCACATGGAATGATGCGATTGTAAACTTGACTAATGTGCTGTTGTGAGAAAACGGCATCCTTTCGATTATGGATTCAATACGAGGACCCGACAATCTGTCGACTTCTGGTCTCTCTCGTCATATTGACGTGTCGACAGAAATTATATGGAAATAATAATATAAGGTACTGATGTTGGTTCTAATCAACGCGTTCTACCATAAAAATAGATATTGGAATGTTTTCCCAACATACCAGTAGGCATTATCCGTTTAATTATTGGTTTTCTTACATGCGATAAACCTTTGACGAATTTGAAAGCTCTTTAATTTGCTATGGAAATGTTTGCAATAAACAACAAAGAGCACTGGATAACTGTTTCGTCCTGTTTGGGACTCGTCAGCAGTGCGTACTTTTTGTGTCCCTTTCAGGACTCGAATCGCGAACTTTCGGGTTGGGATTTCAAACCATTACCCCTGAGCTTTAACTTGCTCTTTGTATATTGACGCATTCATGGTACTTACGAGTAGTCTGAATATAATACTGATTTTTCTACAAGGGGCTACTTTCGTTCACATGAGCCCCCGCACATTAAGGAGGTCGTTTTATTTTCAGCTGATCAGTGTTACCAAACTCATTAGTCAACCGCATGAATATGACGTTCAAAGCTCCATGTGATTGCTCACAGAGTTGCAATTATAAAATAAAATGGAACCTTAGGAACAGTACCCACAGGCCAAGTCAACAGAAGAAACAGGAAGAATCTGTTATCCGGGTCGGAATGGGGTTGTCAGAAATTCAAAACCCTCCCTAATGCTCTTAGAATCATTTTATATTATCTGTTTGAGATCTATGGGAAAGTGTCCAGGAACAACAACAACAAAAACAACAACAACGACAACGATAACAACATTCACAACAACAAAACGACGACGACGACGACAACAACAACAACAACAACAAAAGACAATCAAAAGAACAACCTCAATAATCAACATCTACGCAATTGTTTAACCCAATATTGTAACTAAGTGCCTAATTTAAGACTTTCATTCTATGCCCATCAGTCTGCGTTGCTGTTAAGCTTTCATGCTTCCGTTCATGTAATCACCACCACCGAACCTGACCTGTTCGTCAGAAATCGCTCTAGGGCTTACCTCGGATCATAGCTGGTGGTTATCATGCGGATTTTCTGGCTCACCACATTTTCCCACTCTCGGTTCATTCTGTTTATCCCGACCAGGATCATTGTGAGTCGTGTCAGTACAAACTTGTCCATGGCCAAGCGGGTAGGGGATTTGCTTCATCTGGACAAGAAAAATGTTATGGAACGTGGTCGAACTCGTCAACTTGTCAGTCTGCGTAAGTTTCATCCCCCGCTCAGCTGGCTGACACATGGTCCATGGTCCGTTTGATTGCATGCTTCCGTCCTACTCCGTCCGTCACAATTCATGTTAAAGGAAAGATTTTAATTATGCACTCGGCACTTTTGTGGAACGGAATTTTTCGTTGTTTGAAGGCAGGATGTGAGATAAATGCGCCAGGAAAATCCATCACACTCAATGCTCTATTGAATGGAGTAAAAAAGTTAGTGGGAAATGTTTTGTTACACGAGAGTGTTGATTAGAGGAATATGGTTCAATTATATANATATATATATATATATATATATATATATATATATATATATATATATATACGAAACGCGAACTGCCAAGGTGGTAAGTACCGTTTTAACCCGATGAAAGAATGAAACTCGGGACATCACAGGTTGGACGCAAGTATACTATCCATATAACGACCATCTGACGCTTGATAAAATCGTTTTTTCGTTTTCTCCATACTCGATGCAACACAACCCATCTTTGTGGGCCTTTTACGACACAACTGATGTTACTTTACCAAATGTTTCGGGCGATTTTATTTCCAGTGTAGTTAAAGGGCATTTATTTAAGTGATGTTGCTTGTGATGTGTTTGTTTAATACCCTCATGATGTAGGAGGCACATTTTGATCACATAACGACAGCCCATTAACCAAGAGTGATGGATAGCCCTGCAAGGCTTGGTTTTGGTCCGGAAACTTGGAATGCTTCGATCCATTTCCGTTGAAAGCACCGTACAGGCTTATGAAAACGAAAAATATTCATCTGGTCTGTTCTAATGTTCTAATTCTAGTGTTTCATGTTCACCATTCGTCAATTAGAGGTAGTAGGGAACCTCCCGTATTAGCTTCATCGTCATAGGCTTAGGGTATGCGTTCAACTCGGAGCTGCACACCGCTTTTCGCGAAGCATGCGGTAAAATTGCTTCCTCTAGAACAGGCTGTCATTGATCTCAGCCGTCACATCAACTAGACGGGCATTCCCTTGGTCGTTCGCCCTGTGCGACAGTCAGTACGTGAGAGGTAACTGGATTGACGGAAGCTTCAACAAGGTGAGCTTATGTCCGCATGTCTGGTTCTGCTCACGCAGAGGGAAGTACTCCATTGGCTCCGGGCCAATGTCACCAAGGAGGATACGCCACAAACATATTATGTCACCACGAACTCCACGATATGACTCTGGGAACTGTCCTGTGGCCTGTAAGCGTCCAGTGTAGCAATGCCCACGAAACTCGACTATAATGCGAGTGGAAGCTCGCTGAACCCTCTTCAACTTCATAAATTCGGCTTTTTCGCACGGATATACGGCGGAGCTTGCAAACTCCAAGCGAGGTAGNAAACGTAACATCCTGAAACCGGCGTTTGAAAGTTTGAAAAGGGAACGGCGAATAGCTTCGACGATTCTCCAACTCGAGGCACAGGCTTTGTCTGTCTTTTCCTTGGGAACCAGCACTCCGAGGTCCCGTTCATATGCAGATGCCAGTGAGAAAGTGTCCGGAAGGTAGCACACTTTTGGAATGGGAGACCGGCCAATGACACTTCGTAGGATTTATCAGTAACTTCCACGCACGGGACCCGATCTTCAAAGCATTTAGGTCCTTCTGCAGGGTGTTCCCGTCAAGTTCTGACTGGATTAGTCTCAAGATTTTAGATCATCCGCATACAGCAGACCTTCCGTTTCAAAGCAGTCTGGCAGGCCATTGATGAAAAGCAGAAACAATATTGGTCCC